TATCTCTGAGCTTGCAGAGATTTAAAAACAGGTGCTGTGGTAAGACTCACTGGCATGTGGATAGCATCATACCATAGTACAATGGCACAGAGGGTTGACTTAAGGGCACAGAATGATGCACTATGAGTGATCACAGGCACAAATGTCGTTATCAAACGGTTGGAAAGAAAATGCTTTTGCTTAAAAGAAACATTTTGAGAGGGGTAAAGGCACGTGTATCCATACTCATTTATTAGCTTTTACTTCCTAAGATTCAAAAATTTGCAGTAGGCTTCCTGGCCACATGTGGGATTAGCAAAGTCCAATGGTACTGTCGCAAGCTCATTGTCTCTGGCAGATACTTGGGAAGGGTCTGGCTCTGACGGGTTCCTTTGTCACTAGCATAAAGTGGCTAGCTAGCATTAGTATGAGTATGCTTTTATTTCTCTTCCTGTCAAAAGTCACTTCAACTGAATATGAACAATAACAGCAGCTCTACCTACCTTCAGTGGGAAAGCAACTTTCAACCAACTAAATATACCTCCAGTAAAAAGATATACTGTTGGATCAAAACCAAGCAACTTCAGGAGTTTTCATTACATACTGCATGTAACATGCCCTAGAAAAAAAGGTTTTTTTGGATTCAACAGTATATAAAAAGACATGAAATGGAAGAACAAGAAACCTGACCTCAGAGATTATAAACCATACATCATGGTCAACAAGTGTTCAAAAATTTGCCTAATAGTCCTTATAAAGGTCCTTCATGAGGATCATGACTTTATACCGTTATTTAAGTCATGTGGGGGGAAAAAGAAGAGACTTGTCTAGGACCAGAGTCCAGAACCTAAGACAGTTCTCAGGCTTCAAAATTCTGGACTTTCAGACTGTACCATATATTTTCTGGCTAGGACTTTTTATTGTAAATAGTATAGGCATAATTTGGCTTTCATCAAAATCAAAGGCTAAATTCCTGGACCCTACAGCATTTATGAAGGACGTCTTTCAGGAGACTATGACGTTTAATACTGTTTATCTTGTATGCTGTACAGACAGACATTGGGACTACTGTGAGAAAACTATTGATTTTTTTTCCAAAAGTGCAATGCTAGTTGACAGACCCCTATGGATTACAGGAGGGTTTTTTGATCTGTTAATAATCTTTAGGTAGGGAAGTTTTCCATGCCACCTGTCCTATGCTTCTCCCAGCATGATTGGGAGCAAACACACTTCTTCCCGACTGTGCTCCTCTTCTTGGTTCTCGCACATCATCAGATCGGTGGATGGTGAGTTTTTTTTCCTTTCCTCAGGTGTTCACACTGCTGAGAAGGAAACATTTTGTCACGAGAGTTTCCAGGCTCCAGGAACGGAGCTATGTGCCTAGAAAGGCTGCAACCACCAGCAAATACAGCAGCAATGCGTTTTACTTCTCCTGCTGTGTCCCTGCTGCTTGCTCTCCTGTGCCCACAGCCCTGCCCAGGGCTGGCTCTCCCCCACCAGCCACCAGGCATCTGCCTGGGATGCGGTGCCCCTGGCTGCCCCACCACAGGCAGGGACTCTGCACTGCCTGCTGTGGTTACAGCTACTCTAGACCTATGGGAGCCATACGCATCTGTCTCGGCCGCTGTTGCCATGGCACTATGGAGAACCACAGAGGCTCCAACCTCTTCCCCACAACCTAAGTAAATATACTCCAGTGTTAGCCTATACTGAGCTCCTGGCATCCTCGGCCCCGCTGGCCCGGCTGGCTCAGGAGTGACCCGGCCACGCCAGCACTTCTTAATGGGCATCTGTTTCTTCTCCGCTGAAAGAGGAGGGACAAAGGCCAGCTATTAACAACATTTAATCTTTGATATTTACAAAAGGTCAACGTTGTCAAGGATATTATTTTGTAGAACTGAAAAAAACATTTGTTTTCCTCATATGAGTCAAGTCATAAGAGTTATAACATTCATCACACACAAAGACCAGCTGTCTGAGAGGGTTTTTTCCAATCTTTTTTTTTATTAATAGAGAGGGATCACCGTACCATTACAATCCTTCATTCTTCTAACTCCAATGTACTTTCCTTTCTAGGAAGTGTACGTATCTACACCTGTACCTGTACATATACCTGTATACATATGAGAATGATATAATGTCCCTGGCTATTGTGGTGAGCTACATCTTCCCAAGACATATTGACATACATAATAGAGACAAAACCACACTGCTAGTCACTGTTGTACATAAAGCCCGTAGGAGCATCTACTGCAGCTCAAACTAGATGAGGCCTACTCAACAAGCATGGGGTGGGGGGATCCTTGTGATTTGAATTTTTTTTTTTTTTTTAATGTTCCATATCGGGAAAATGTTAAATGGATGGTTCAGTTGTTTCCTCTCCCACTTGTAGAAGTTAGTCTTTTGGGAATTGGCTTCTGCCTGATTTCACTTGCTACTGCTCCTGTCTGCTTCTTATGTATTCCTTGCTGATACTGGGACCAAGTTATACTGGCTGTTGAAGGAAGGTGGAAGGTGGAAAAGTTATTTTATTTTTATTTAACATTTCAGAGGAAAGACAGTAACATTTTGGAGATGTCAAATTATAATGATGATGATTGGTCTATAAATAAAAATAAAATACACATTCTCCCACCATTGATCATTTTAAAAAAGAGAAGAAGACAGATTTAGACGGCACAGGACTCAAGTTCAGCAGCTGTCTTGATTTAATTCTCTATTGCCACATTGCAATTTGTTGTGTTTTGATCAGTGTAAAGAGTAGGTAGGGAGCACGGCTGTTGACTCCATCCAGGATAATGGATTGGGCTCATATAAAATCACCAGTGTACAGACTAATCTTTGTGCACCTCAGAAACTAGAAGAAGGCCTTATTCAAGTCCTAGCATGATTCTGTGCGTCATATACAGTGAAAGTGAGTACAATTCGATCTGAGAAGAGTAATTAGTGAATAAGCAGTTATTTTATATTTAAATAACAATCCTAAGTGTAGGAGTTAAAAACGGTTGAAATTCTGAAAGTATATAAAGAAAGGAAGGAATATAAAATAAATAGCAAGTAGGAAGGAAGGTAACAGTAAATTGGAAAAAAAAAAGCTGGAAGGAATATTTCAAGCTGAAACAATGTGACTGCTTTCTTATGCTCTTATACTATTTGGTTACATCACATGATATAAATAAGGTTAAATGATACGTTACAATGACATGAAAATGTGTAGACATAAATAGGGCATAAACTGCTGTAACTTCTGTAGAACTATATCATTGTGTTCTGGCTGTGGATTTAGTTAATTTTTTCCTAAGTTTATCTACCAAGATTACCATAAATATTTTTAAACTATTTAAAACTTATTAAAAGCTATTTTTAAATCTATTGTTCCAATATTCTGTATTCTGTACCATTTGTACTCTACAAAATGACATACTGTAGGTCTTTAGGAGATAAAAATCTGCAAAATGCAATAGTCAGTGTCCAGGAAGAAACTATTAAAGTATATCAACAGCGAAAACAAAGAACAATGGGTTACTAGGAACTAGACTGCAGGGAAATATCTTAATGATAGAAGCAAAGATACTGCCAACTGGTATGTAATAAACTCCTTAGCAGATGATGGCTTGGGGAGAAAAGGTCTCGGAATTGTAACATGGTGATAAAAATAATTTGACAATTCCTCAAAATAAAAGAACTGCTTTCACTTTTAAAGACTAACTGGAAGGGAAGTACCTCAAGGCAAAAAATGCACAATGACCCTTCCCATCCACCCATTTATAAAAATAATAACTTTATTTCTCAGCCTGGAAAGGCTATGTAAAAAAGCCTATTGAATTAGAAATCTTAGTGGAGAAAAGGAAATAATCACAGCTAGACACGGGTAGAAGTTTTACAGCTTAAAACTCAGGGCAGAGGCTTTGTACATTTACTGAATCCTGAAGGCGGAGGTGGGTTATTAAGTTAGAGTAATCCAGGAGGGAAAAAAGAATATATATATACACACCCACACACACCCTTTGCATTTGTGCTATGAAATGTAATATAACTTCCTTAGGGAAGATGCATGTGATTTAAATTTGGAAGAAAAAGTACTGGTCTGGTTAAAAAGGAGAAAAGGAGGGAGGGGAGGGAGATGCAGAAAGCATGCGTGTGTGTGTGTGTGCGCGTGTGTGTGCACGCACACGTGCATGTTTATTTGAAAGCTGTTGCATCTCTCCAAAGCAAGTGGGTCACCTATAATGAAGTGCAGTACACTTTTGCTTTGTGGTAAAGGAAAAGAAAAAATCCCGCTGTCTTTCCGTTTTCTTTTTCTTTCCACTCTCACTTGCTTAGGTAGTGAGGCTTACTCTGATCAGAAGCATGTTGCATGTTCGGGGGAGTCATCACTGTAAGAACAAAGGCATAACTATAGATAAGTTCAGGCCTGGCTGAAAATTGCATAAAATGACAAGCCAGAGTAAAAAGGGGCTAAGGAAATCAGGGATAGGTTGTACTGGGTAAACACAGTGAGATGAAAACAATCTAGACAAGAACAACTACCCACAAACCTGTTCCATGAAATAAGGCTGTCTGGGAAGCAGCAGCAAAGCATCTTGCAAAGATTGCAAAGTATGAGTCAAAGAGCTAAGGAAAAACATTCTTCTAATCCCATTCAGAAACAAATGTTTAATTATCTCAGAAAACGGTGAAAGTTGGCACTGAAGTAGTCTCAACAATAGTTATTTAGTAAACGGTATGTATTTTATTATAGTTTTATGACAGTTAATACTGATATGTCTAAGTAGTCTTACATTTATTACTCATTACATATTCTGTTTAATTCCAAAGTACAGATTGCCAATATTTCAGGTAATGAAAATGCTATTCTGGTTTTGTATACTGGGCATGATTTCCTATGTGTGATAGGAAACAGGTAGAAGACTACTATAGTTTATTATATATTTCTGCCCAATGCAAGAAATACATGCAGCCGTAGAACTATCCATTTGCACGAAATGCTACTAATCACAACCAAGTCAGACTAAACTAAACTAATTTAGCTTTTACAGGTATACACATCAGTAGACTTGAAAGCCAAGCTTGTTTGTTTTATTTTATCTTGGGGTGCATAAAATCATGATATTTGGCAGCATGGAATAAGGGACATTAAATCGGCTTTTATGCTGTTGTTAAGGAACCCGTAGAGGATGGGATTCAAGCAGCAGGACATCATACCCAGTAAATGGCATATGCAATATACTAATTTAAAATGTCTGTTAGAAATGAGAGTGGCATTAAAATCCGTCACAATGTGGAAAAGGTGAAGAGGCATCCAACTGAAACCAAAAACTAGGATTAGCACTGTCAGTCTGCAAAAAACTCTCCTAGACCTTGTCTTAATTCTGATGATGGACCGGGATAACGTAATCATGTCCTGGATCTCTGTATTTTCTTCTGGGATCATCTCAAAACAGATAGGTATCCCAGGGATGAATTTACTGGAGGAAGAGAGCTGGCTTTTTTCTGTGCCAGAGGTTTCTGGGAGGTCTCTGGAATGAGTATCCTGATGATGCCTTGAAAGAGCTGGCATCACACTTGAAGTCTTTTTACTGTATCTTCTGTGGTGCTTTCTGCCAAAGGCGCAGCACCATCTGGAATGGCTGGAGGGCTGCACCTGCGTGCCAGTACTCTTAGAGGGATGAAGAGTTAGGTTTATCATCTCCTTTTCTTCAAACTTGCTTTCCTTGGTTGACAGTCTGGAACCTATGCTCCTGCAGACGCTGGTGTGACTAGCGGTTAAACACACCAGCGGCAATATATACTGCATGAGCAATAAGGCTATTGTAAAGGCGATTCTGTAGGAATCGGAAGGCCATGACTCAATACACAAGAGCCTGTTCTCCAGTGCCTCTAAATTCAGAGTTTTGCTGAGGTCCACAATTTTGTGGAAAACTGGCAGAGGGGAGCAAATGGCAAAGCCAAGGGCCCAAATGGTCACTATTAAGAAATAGCCTTGTTTTGCTGTTAAATTGCTAGAAAGGGGATATTTTATCATACGGTACCTGACTGCAGCAATAGATATTAACATCAAAGTTGAAACTAGAACTGATGCGCACTGGAGGAAGGGCATTACATGGCACATGATAGTGCCAAACATCCATTGGTCAAGCAGGACGGATGTCAGTGTGAAAGGTGAGCAAAACAGCACAACCAAGATGTCAGAAAAGGCCAAGTTACCGATAAGAACATTTATTATTGTCTTCTGCTTGCGCTTTAGTAGAGCCGTTAGTATAAGCAGATTTCCCATAAAGCCAGCCAGACTTATAAGTGTGTACAACCCAATAAGAAAGTACTGTATATCATCCACACTACTCTTATAGTCTTCCCAGGCAGAAAAATTCTTTGTAGTAGCAGAGTTGTTCTTGGTAGGTGTCCTGTTGTTACGGTCTTTGAATCCTAAATCCATTTTACAGTCCTGCTTAGAACAAGAAAGGCATTAATTAGGATCTGAAGGAAGGATGATACTGCTGTTAACCAGAATGTAAAGGAACACAAATTTACCTTGTATGACCTTAATAAATTAATAGTGATGTTATTCTACTGTGAGGCAGATCCTGCATAACTTCAGGTCAACACGAATTAGTTTCGTAGGTTTTATCATGTGGCGTTCAGGACACCTAGGCCTCCTACCTGGCTGCTCACATGGGATGACGACAATTTAAGGTTCTGCATTATGAGGCTGGCTTTTAACTATGCTTTGCTATAGACCATATGGTCAGCCTTTCCATGAGGGAGCAGTTAGCTACAAAAGCAATCCATTTAGTCGGTGAGATTACTCATGTGAATAACAGCTCATTGATATGAGTAAGGAAATTACAATCACCATCTGGGCATGTACCTAATCATTACATGACAGCAAATTATAATGAGAGCACCTGAAAATATATGATGTTTTGACATATGCTAACAACTGCAGTAGTATTTCTTACCTTGCTGGTAGAAAACTGACACAAAATAGGTGAAAGCTTTCAAAACGGATCAGTTTATGAGATCCACTGCCAGTGATCTAAGATGGAATTCCTAATGTGGTGCATATACAAACCACCTTCTATTGAGTGTTGAACGTATTTTAACTGTTACTCAAGCAGAAGGGAAAACTGCCTGCGAAACATCCAAAGTAATAGGATGTAATACAGAGAGGACAGTGTTAACTGGAAGCAAACCCCACACAGCCATTTGAAAATTCAGGGAACTGCTAATTATTCAGCACAGAAACATCTAACATTAAAACCTAGCTCAGCACAAAGTTATTCTGCCTACAGAATCTTCATGTACTAGTCTTTCTTTTAGAAGAAATAGAAAGACAAGAGAATTCAGTTTAAACTCCAATTTAACTTGAACACCTGCATGTACTAAAGTTTCAAAGTCAAAATTCCCCAAAGTGCCAATGTCCTGTACAAAATTGCTTAATGCTGGGAAATATTAGGCAAGACTAAACAAACCCAAAACCCATAAATTGAGCAGAAGGCTAAACCTGTCAACTAAAAAAGGCAGGGCTCTTCAAGAATGTAGCTATTCTTAGTGAGCTGTATCGTGCTGACTTCTTCCAAGTGCAATAATATTATTATCTGTTTCCTCTACACATGCAGATGTGCTCCTTCCTTCACATCACAACATGAGCATCCCATTGCCTGAGAGCAGGTTTGAAACCAGTCAGGAGTTATTTGAGAAAGGGAAATGAAACTTCACTCAAGAGCTAGATCTGCCCAAGTCTTGGTCACTAACCGACCAGTCATTGGCTGAGAATAGGAAGACTAGTAAGAAAGAGAGAAGGAAATCCAGTAACACCTTGAGATTCAAAAAACCGCAAAAACTCTTACAATGAATGCTCTCAAAGTGATGATGACTCTGAAGGAATGAGCTTTTCATTTATTATGTCTGCCTACCTAAGTAACCCTGTGCTAAGAGGGATCATTCTGTGTAGTCTTCTATTTTAACTGATAGTAGGTTGAAGGACTAACCTGTAAAGGAGAAACAAACTGCAGATGTTGTTTCTCTCTCAGAAACCTGGAGATTAGGATTGCTTCTAGAGCTTCTACAGGTATTTTCAGTAATAGTAAAATGCCCACACATAGTCATATCTGTCCAAAGGTCATACTGAGTAGTAACAATGCACACCGATGCTTAAGTTATAGTAACAGCTATGTATGTGTGGAAGTTTTGTTGATCCATGTACCAAAACTGCAGATTCCTCCCTAGACTTTTTGGTGATATTGGCTGTCATTGAAAAGGTTGATCATAGGCCATAGGTTCATCAGTGTGTGGAGAAAAAGCAGGCATCCCTACTGGTAGAAAAGGCTCTCTATCTAGTTAGTCCATTCCATTTCAATTATGTGCTACGGTCTGAAAAGAAATCTGTATATTTTCATTCAATCTTGCTTAGTTTTAATCAATGGATGCTGTGAAAAGAATTGAAAAAAAAATCTGGTGGCGTCGCTGTTATTTCCTGCTGCCACTTTCAGCTTTGGGAGACTAAAAGTGAAAAGGCAGAGAGTCTCAAGTCAGATGCACCATAATTATTTTGTCTTCTACAAATTTATATTCAGTACAGGTAATGCTAAGACTAGGGCCACAGAACAAAACTGTATGCATTGTTATACTGAAACATGTTTATTAAATGAATGTTTACTGAGCTCTTCTCAAAACTGTAACTGAAAATTGAAAATAAAAAATGTAATTGAAAGATTGTTGCCAGATTCTGTGGATTTCTACATCTTCACGTAAAGCTCTTGCAGTATAGCTTTAGCAGTGTTGTTCATCGTGTTTTTAATACAATTCTTTAAAAACAAAAAGTGAATATGCTGATTTTGCTAAAGTAGACATATTTTGTTGAGACACACCAATACTGAGGAAGCTCAGCAGGCGTGCCTCTGAAGTCCAGCGCGGGCTCTCCAGCTCCATCCCCCCTGCGTGGTGGCTGCCTTCTGCCTTGGGTGAGCGCTGAGCAGGCACCATCTCCCCTACCACAGCTCCTGATTTCCATGAGGAAGGAGCACAGGAAGAAGCCACAACACGCTCTGGTCAGGCCCTGGCTGGACACTCGGGGCACCACAGGAGTCCGCGGTGCGCTGCAGCCACTTCTGCACCACCTCCCTATAGTCACAGTTTCAGAGTGACAGAAAGACGCAGGGAGAGGGAATAAAACTACAGTCTGTTGGTTCAACAGAGAACTGCTGTGCTGACAGAAGTTCCCTTTGCGATATGCCCAAAAAGATTTTATGTTCGTTTTGGATGTGTGAAATGAAAGCAGACTTTTCCCCCAAAATTTCAAAAATCGCCAAGTGGATCTCTTGCTCTCCGAGCTTCCTCTCCTGCTCAGAAGGAACCAGTTGCTCTCTCAGCTTCAGTGCCACTGGCAGTAAAGATGCAAACAAAAGTGTTCCTCCCATATCATTGCTCTTCAGTCCCCAGACTCATATTAGCATACCACTGATTTCACAGGGCTGTGTGCACTTATTGGCATTTATCTTCCTGCTTTGTTTTAACAGCTGCTTCTATTTTGGGGGATTCGCTCACCCTCCCTCTGTCGGTTGGTCAATCCCGGTGCGGCACGTGGCCGTGGCTTTCAGGGAAATGAAGATTCCTGAAAATCCCACTGTGGGAAATAGTATTAAATAATACAGCCTCTTTTGAAAATGTTCTCCTCACATTTGAAGTGTATTTCTCAACTGAATGCACCACAGTGCCACGGTGCTCTTGTGCCTGTTTTCAAGATCACATTTTATCAGTCTGAAGGTACCTGATGAAGATTTTCTAGCTGTCAGCTCCGAAAGTTGGATCACTTTCACCTCCTACATCAATCAGTCAAGCAAATGAGGTCCCCTTTCTGTATTCCTGGTCTGCATACACTCCCTGAGCCTGTGCTCAGCTACACCCGTGTGAGCTCACACCCTGTGAGCTTTAAGTGGGTTTGCTTAGGTCTCCTTTAGTTTCAATGGGATGCTTGAGACAGGAGGCTAGGCTGCACAAGGCAGGAGGGACTGCAGCTTCATGGCAGGATCCAGGGTGGATATGAATATTTACCGTAAGAATCAAATTAATGCAGTTAACATTAAATACAAGGAATATCTGTGGTTATCTTTTACAGTAAAATGTATTTTATGACAGTTGATGTACCATGATCTTGAAAGATTTCAGATAACACCTCCTTAAATCACATTCATCTGTGATACACCCCAGTGCGACTGCTTGAATACTGTGACTTATTTTCACCAAAATCATGCTTCAGAGGAGTTTTCAGCTGCAGTTGATCTAAGGCCTGAAAGTGACAAGGAGAACTTAAACCATTATTGAGGTTTAGCTGAGTTAGAGGTACCACATAACCTAAAATATTCTAGTTTAATATGTTTAAAATCTTATCATTCATCTCATTATTCCACTTAAAGCTATCATTTAAAATACAAAATCCATAAATCACAATCTAGGAGAGTGAATAGGCTAGGTATTTCTCTTTCTCTACATATTATAGGAAAATTTTCAATAACACAAAAGTTAGGCAGGCAACCATACTCCTCTGAAGGCAATTGTTCTTTCAGAAAATCTTCCTTCTGTTAGATGAGATACTTATGTTAAGGTTTATTCATGGATAAGAGCTTATATCCTACAATACTAGTATCTGTTAAGTGGACTCTGACTGGCTGGTGCCTGTATGGTCTAGTCAGTTCAGTCTGTGTAACAGTGTCTATACAGGACAATTAATCTTTACAGCTGTGAACAACTTACAAACTTAGGAGAGCTTTTTCTACCTTAAAAACAAATAAAGACAAACACATGCAGGGAGGAAGCAAAATATGAAAACTCGCTGAGAAACGCAACCTTTCTGCCCCCATAATACTGGAGTGGTATCAAGACTGTATAGAAAATAAATTCAGAGAAAGTCTTTAAACTTCTACACAGTTGTAAAGAGTTAATATGGCAGGCTGTAACTGCCTGACCCCCTAAGCCTAAGGAAAGCACTGAGCTATGTTGTTACCACTTGAGAAAAGATGCCCTCACATCGTTAAAGACTGAGATAACGTCCGAGCCAAAAATTGAAACCACTGAAGAGCCGCATTCACAACCCAAGCTAAAGATGAAATGCTGCTGCTTCAAATGTTCTTGTTCATTACATGCAACAGCAAAAACTAGTCTGAGAACCTGGGAGAATTCAAAGGATTGAGATACTTCAGAAGTCCAGAAAAACGGATATTCGTGCATGTTAATAGTATGCCTCCTTATGTGCCTAACTAAAAGAAGAATTGCAACATTACCCTGGAAAACAAGAGTACGGCTTCCCAAAACAAGCAAAAGCCAACTAATTAGATCATTTCTCCAGCTCCAAGGAAGTGTTACGCAGTGTAATGGGGTATTTGCTGGTCAGAACAGAAAACTTGAAATGCGCTACTACATTTTATGCCAGGGAGCACA